GACAAAAGAGGCTAGGAGGAACATGCTAAAAATCTGGTGAAACAAATACAAGTTGCAAGAAGGGATAAATTTCTAGAAGGATTGGCCAAAACTTCACTCAAAACCATGCATACCCCATAAAAATTCATCAATGCCGTGGCCTTCCCTTTGTTTTACTTCCACCAGATTTTTTTAGTGATGATGCAATGCCTATCTCACTATGACATTTGAGTGGATGATGTAATGCTTAACTCACCATGACATTTGAGTGGATGATGCAATGCTTAACTCACCATGACATGTGAGTGGATGACTCAAAACCTACCCTCACCAACAATTCTCCACCTTGCCATGCCTTACCTACTTCATTCCACCAGATTTTTGTATTAAACATGTCCATCCTCTTCCTATAAATACCATGGCAGCAACCTCATTCAAATCATCCAGAAATTAACCATTCTCCAAGCCTTTCTTTGCCTCTCCTACATATCTAAACCCCTTCCCATCCATTCCTCCAAATAACCAACCCTTCAACATCATTCCAACCTTGTTGTTGCGGCAAAGAGAAGGAGAAAAGTCCTTAGACGCACTTGCTATCCAACATGGATCGTTGGAACGTTTAGGTGCTTTCTTTCCTTTGTTTTTCAATGTTTAAATTTGTTTATCTTTGTTTTGTAATAATGAGGAACTAAACCCCCCCTTGGCTAGGGGGGGATTCGAAACCATGTTAATGCTTGCAATATGATTTGATTACTTTTAATTGCGTTTCATAAGTTATGAATTCGATTTACTTATCTATTTGATTGATAACATGTTTATGTATGTTGATTAGGGATGCATACTTAGTTTGCATGCATAAATATGATGCTAGAGTATAAGGGAATTTCACCTAATCGTTATGAACTTATATTCATGAGTAGTAAAAGTCGCTAGTCACGATTGTGTTAAGTAAATCCTTGGCATAAGTTTCATGCAAATCATAGTAACGAGTGCCTCGTCAATGCTTATGTTTTTCATAGAACTTAATGATTCTTGCTTGTATCTCTATTATGCAATTCATGTAGGGAACTTGTAGGGAATGTTTTGGGTTGTCGTATGCAATCATCCAACCCAATAACTTGTGGGAAAAACTGAGGGTTAATTAGTGCAATTCACGGTTAATTTGGGGCGTTGAGAATTAATAAGTTATTGAAATGCAATTGGAAATCATTGTGTATGCAAGCAAGACATGTGTGGAGAAGAACCCCTTAGCTAGCCTTCCATTATCCATTCAACCCAAATTTGTTTAAAATCTATTTAAGTTTTTAGTTTATTCGTTTTTACTTTCAACTTCACCAAACTCAAATCCCCTTTTTACTTTCTTGTTTTAAAATCTTTTGTTTACATTTTTAACTTTGTTTTTATGTTTTTAAATTAGTTTTCAAGTGATTTAGCAATCCCTCCTAATCCCCGGTTTAGAACGATCCCTGCTTACATCTATACTACAATTGTCAAAAAGAGGGTTAAATTTGTGTGCTTATATATTTCGCATCACTCTTCCCCTTCATTCTTCTATCAAGATTCGATGGAAATTGGGTCAAATCCGTGACATTTGGCAATGGTGACACCGACGGGTCTTGTGTCGATTCTCCCATTTCTGAAGCAATTTATTCCAATTGACACTACCAATAGACTTCCCTTGAAGCCTAGAACAATGCCCAATCATTGGTTGGAGCGTCAGAGTCGAATTGGGGACGAATCAAGAACACCCACTTCTAGGGTTCCCGACGGATTCGAGGCAAATTGGAGCATTTCCAGGCCAAATTGGACTTGGCCACATGTATAAAGTTTGCTCTACTCATTGAGATCTTCATTCCTGCAATTTTTGGTAATTTTTGGAAATAGTTGGATTTTCCGGCGAGTTTGGGCGGCCGACTGCCACCCACGGCGGCGTGTGCGTCGGTGCGTGGCCAGGGGCCCGCCAATGTCATTCTTAGGCTAAATTAGAGGCCTTGAGTTCAGTTTTGGAAATTTTATAACGTAGGTTGATCGTTTGAAACTAAATTCCCTTACGATACGTTACTTGGTAAAAATATGAATCGACGATCCGACCGTTGGATCGTCACCAAACTTTAATATGTTATAGTACGTAATATTTGAGGACTATAGAAACTTACAGATTGGGAATCGACTAACGGATCTTCTCGAATTGGAGTTGTAAGTTCATAAAATAAAATGTTGACCGCCATTTGGTTTTGGCAATTGGCGGAGATCAAACCGTTGGATCGTAATGAAACCTTAGGATGTTGTTCTACAAGTATAATGTGGATCTTTGGAAGCAACGGATCGGAAATCCATGATGCAGATCTTTTGAATTGAATTACGTAGTGATATGTTTTATGTAAATTATGTATTCTATTGATAAGAATTTTGAGATGTGATTTGATAATTGTTCTAGGCACCGATCGTTCGTGACACCTCTTTGTGTGTGCTAGGGAGTTGTAGTGTAAACTCCAGGTGATTGAGTCTTTTCCTTCCTATCGTATACGTATACATATATACATATATACATATATATATATATATATGATTGATAATTTCACAAACGGTTATAAATTGATTATTGCATATAATTACTGTGAATGCTTAGAAGTACTGAAGTGAACTACAAATGGCTGATCCCTGTTTAGGGTACGTAGGCAGTCTAACTAGACGTTAGATTCAGCCATACATTATTTGAAACAAAAAATTTGTATGGGAATTGAGCAATGTGAAGGAAATTGGTGAAAATATGAGATTTAACCTTATGTTTTTAGTAATTGGATATTGGTCATAAATCAATGTGGAAGGAATCAAGAAATTGAAATAAGGAAACATAAGTAACGATAGTTAATTAAACTAGTGTTTAGTTGGACTTATCCTCGATAATTATTTCCGAGAATAAATAATTCGGGCGTAGGGCATTATAGATTGTGTATTTTACACCACATTATATATATATATATTTATATATTGGAAAAATACTATGATATGGTTAAGTTTTAGACTTGCACTATGGCATATCCATATGTATATGTTCCTGCACATAATTATTGTGAATGTTTTGAAGTACAAAGATGAACGTAGAATACTCAGGTAAGTTCAGGTGAGTTATGGTATTAGTTGAAATGATTGGGTTGTGGCATGATCACATTTATGTTTTAGGCAACTTCGACATTGTCGTACATGTTGTCTATGAGTTGTATATGTCATATGAGATTGCTTTAGTATGCGAGATATGATGAGATGCATTTAGAGTTCATAACCCTACACCCCGGTGTTAGTGCTCCTGCCCATGGCCAGGCCACAGTCCTTCATGTGATGTTCACCTCCCGCACCTTACGCTCACCTTGGATCCAAGGTAGGTGCACATGCCTGTTGTACAGACCACTATAGGTGATTCCGACTCGTAGGTGACCCGTGATTATTCACACAGTCTTTACGTGATCGTAGCACTCGAGCGTATTTATTTACACCCAGTCCTGTCGTACAGACTACTTTATGTGGTTCTGACTCGTGTGCAGGTATACTTATTGAGATATGGATAAGTTGTACAGGTCATTAGAGGTGACTCCCGACTGATGAGCTAGCATATGTGATGAAATATGTGATGAGCTAGCATATGTAATGATATATGTGATGAGCTAGCATATGTGATGAAATATGTGATGAGCTAGCATATGTGATGAAATATATGATGAGCTAGCATATGTAATGATATATGTGATGAGTTAGCATATGTAATGATATATGTGATGAGTTAGCAAAAATGAGTTAGCATTTTTGGAGCATATGTGCTGATCTTGTACGTACCTTCCTAGATGAGATCCATATATGATGATCCATAGTTTTATATGGTTTCTATAAAAATTGTATTTCCAGGGCCACTCACCCTTGTTTGGTTTTCACCTTCTAGGTTTTATTAGTTGAGCTTCTTATCGTCGAGGATTCATGGCAAGTCTTGGTATTGAAGATTACCTTTGATGGTATGATTCTTAATTCATTATACTGTACTTACTAATGCTCTAACGTCACATGTGAAGGGGATTCATTCCCGCTCACCAGCGCACCCTGGTATTTAGGCATTCTTAGGTTTAAATTTATTCATATTTTTCCACATCATCACACTTTATGGCTTCGTCACCTTCTAAGTGTCGGCCATCATAGCTCGATTCGGAGTTCTAATGGACATTCCAAGTCGGGATATGTCAGATAGTGTAGCTTAAAGTAATAATAACATTTTGTAATGAAGTAATATAAATAACTATACATTTGCAAAAATCATCTCAATGCATTTGAAAAAAAAATCCAACTACAAGAAGAATAAATATTTTTTGTCTAAATTTTCTCATGTTTATCCCTTGTGTTAAACTAATTTTTTTTAATAAATAATATTATCTACACTAAAGAGGTAGAGGAATGGGCTAAACCTCACAGTTAGATAGCAATAATGTGGTTCAAATTATTCTTTGGCGATAATCCAACCTAAAATATCTCGCTTATAAATGAAGAGAAATACCAGTAGACTATAGTTCCAAGTGACATTTTACTTATATCTTTTAAATCCCTCGTGTTAATCTTTTAAATCTCTTCATGATATCTTTTTATTGATGGGATCCTTTATGATGAAATTAAGCAAATAAACACAATTAATGGGTTGCATTTTACTCAAACCTTAATGATAGGATGAGTTGTGATGCTTCAAACCTACTTTTTCATAAAGAATATCATAGGTTAAACTGGAAGGTAAATCATTTTTACCATCAATTAAAGATTTCTTAAGGATCCAAACGTGAATTCCAACGTCAAAAACTCTAAAATACATGACATATATTATTGATTTTAACGGCTTAGATATGTGCTAAAAAAATTTCAAAATTTAATGAGCGAATATGAACAAGTATCCATTCACGTATAGCAAAAGGACTGCACTAACGTACAAACATGGGAACAATACACCAACCCACCAATTATTTTCCTTCTTTTTTTTGATTTTTCAACATCCTCTGGCCCCCGTCTATATACTTTCTCTCCCTTTTTTCGTCTCCTCGCTTTACTTTCTCGTTATCTTTGTGTTCTCCATCCTGCTTTGACAAGCATCGCTGTTTCGGTTTCTCAACACACACAGACCGAGGATTCTAGAGTCTAGAGAGAGAAATTTATAGAGAGAGATGATGGAGTGGGAGAAGCAGCAACTGAAAGAGCAGCAAGAGATGGAGGGGAACGGGAACGGGAGTGGGAATAATGGGAATGGAGGAGTGATGTATGTGAAGGTGATGACTGATGAGCAGTTGGAGACTCTGAGGAAACAGATTGCAGTTTATGCCACCATCTGTGAGCAGCTTGTTGAGATGCACAAGAACCTCACTTCCCAGCAAGATCTTGCAGGTCCCTCTTTTCTTCTCACTTTTCTCTTTTAGTCCTTCCAACTTTTCATTTGTTTGCAATATGGTTCTTGTTTGTGGGTTCTTTCAGTGGTCATTTTGGTTCATTTCTTTGTTTTCTGTGATGATTTTTTTTCTGATTTGTTGTTTTCCAAATGAAGGATTCTTCTTTTTTTGTAATTTTTCCCCAAAGCTTTGGCCTTTTTTTTTTTTTGGGTAGTTTTCCAGTTCATTTCATGCCCGGCAGTTTGTCCTCCTTGGAGTTGAAGGCTTATCTATATTTGACATGCCACGGTGACGGTTTTTCAAGCCACTCGCACTTTTTTGTATTATAACTTTTCCACCTGGCGGTCGTTCATTTGAGACATTCCAGTTCCAGGAAAGTTCTTGCGGTCTCATTTCTCACTTTTCTTTAGGGTTACTCACTTGGGTGGTCCTTTTTACCATTGATCTCTATCTTCTTCTGGTGTTTGTTCTAAGAATTTCATCCTCCGAAATTGGTGGCGTAGGTAAAAGCTCCTAACTTGAGATGTTGAATTTCACTTCTTTGGGTTCCTCTGTTTGGTCAGATTTAGCTCTTTGTGATCTGGAAATTGAACTGATTCGGGTTTTTATTTTGTACAAGTAATATTCTACCTTAAACATCTGTCATAGTCAATATGGCTACCCCACGTCTGCACTTTAGGCAAGGTTCTAAAAGGTGATAGACGCTACTTGGACGGCGGACAGGGCCTAGCGCCAAGGCAGTTTTTTTAATTTTACTAAATTTAATATTTAATACATAAATAAATATCTACTAATACATTTGCTCATTCACTAATACATTTTTTCAAGAAGGAGGACAATTTATTAGTTTAGGGTATCTGAAATGACACCATATATGCTTTTGAACAAAACCATCTGCATTTGCTTTCTCAGGAGTCAGGATGGGAAATCTGTACTGCGATCCGCTGATGACATCCACCGGCCACAAAATTACCGCCAGGCAGCGGTGGACGCCAACACCAGTGCAGCTCCAAATTCTTGAGCGTTTATTCGAGCAAGGGAATGGAACTCCGAGCAAGCAGAAGATCAAGGAGATCACCACTGAGCTGAGCCAGCACGGACAAATTTCCGAAACAAATGTGTACAATTGGTTCCAGAACAGGCGCGCTCGATCAAAAAGGAAGCAGCAAAATGCAGCATGTAACCATGCTGAATCAGAAGTGGAGACGGAAGTTGACTCACCCAAGGACAAGAAAACTAGACCCGAGGAAACGTTTCAGTCCCAGCAGCACTCAGCTCAAAGGACCGAAGATTTGTGCTTCCCGAGCCCGGAGATAAGTTCTGACCTGCATTTCTTGGATCCACATGCCACTACGGTGGATAAAATGTTCCCGTCACACAGCGGTTTAAGAAGTTCTAGGCATTTAAGCGAAATGTCATTCTATGATGAAGTGCTTGCAAACTCAAGTAAGTTATCATATTAACCATATATTACTTCTGGCTCTTGGCTTCCCATCCGATATGTCAATAATTTATCATTTCCGCAAGATACTCAACAAGCAAACAAAATACCAACAGCTGAAAATCTAAATAGGTTCTAAGTTTGCGCACGCATATGTCTTGCAGAAGAATATCACAGAATTCTTAACCTCATTCGTTTTAGCTCTCTGATTCTTACAACACCTTTCACCATGAACCAAATTAGCCATTACTTGTTTAACCATTTATACGTTTCTATCAGTTTGATTAGAGCTTTTATCATTCCCTAGTCTAGTGAATAGCGTAGAATGTTAGACAAATGCCGCACCCCTAAATTTGAAGTTACAGAATTGGCTAGAAACGTTTAATGAGCTAGCAACGGCTGTAATTTGATTTTTTTGGCTTTGGATGAACAAAGACGAGGAGTGCATTTTGGTAATTGACTTGGTTAACGATGTTAAACAAGTGCTCTCCCTTTCCCTTGCTCTCTCATTTACACACTTGCAAAATATGTATGGAACTTTTAAGATTTGTGAAACTCTTAACACAAATGGCATCTACTTTTTCAGGGCATGAGCTGATGACCGGAAAGATGGAAGCCGGAAATTATAATCTTTTTCAGGAGGCAGAAGACTACGGCCTGACGAGTTGACGCTCATTAGGGAATGTCTGAGTTTTTGTTCTGTTTGATGAGCTATTTTGTGAAGTAGATCCCTGAGTGAGAGAGTGAGTTTGGTCCTGTTTGAATATGGAGACATAGCAAGCCTAACCCTAGCAGAGAGCTGTGGCTCCAACTGAATTTAACTTGGAGAATGGAGAGTAGATAGATAGATATAGTGATATATATTATACTAGTATGACATGCAAATTTGCTTTGGGGTTTTTGTGTTTTGAGCCTTGGCTATTCAATCTTGCTTTGTTAGTAGAATGAACATTAAATATTTTCTTTTGGGAAGCCAAAAATAGATCATGCACTTATTTTCTTTTCCTTTTTTGGTTGGCAAGGCGATAATTTAAACAAGTTTTATTTGTGTGGAGGCAAATTTAAATCTTTGTATAAAAGGACATGCACACTATTCTTGCCAACTGGCTTAATCTGCATTTGCGTGCTTAATTTATGATTTTATTATATCTTTGTTTGCAAGGAAAGGTTAGGTGTTTGTGTTAGTTGGGGGGATGGAATGATGGAAATGACGACATATAGTTTGGTCTTAAAAGAGAAAAGCCGGTCATTGTGTTTGAAATTGAAGGTTCTATACACTCATTGCATTCACCAGCATGAGGGGTTTGGTGCAATTATGAAAATATGTCAATTATTTTCTGCATTAATTAACACTTAAGTAATAATTTAATAAGAGATTGATTTACAAAATATGGTTTAAATAGATGGTATTTCTATTTACATTTATAATGCATTATTTAAAGACTTGTATTGTCAATTCTTCGATCTCTTTCACTGTAACTACGAGTTTAATCTCCTCTTATGTAATTACGAGGAAGGCTTAAGCACAAACCCTTGCTAAAATGGCAAAATGTAACAGTAACTAATAGAATGAGGGTTAGATTCGTTGACTAAGACAGTTTGTGTGCTCATTTTGAACTTGAACTTGAATCTCTATTTCGTAGATTAGCATAATTTATAATATCATTTGTATATAAACAAAAGAAAATTGATATACTCATTTGAGTTACAAAATTTTGACAAAAAGAAAAAAAAAATCGAGTTGGGGGAATTTGAGTTTATCTTAGAAATAATGACATTTGGTGTACCGGGTTATGTTTCCGGTAGATTGAAAAATTTCTCGTATGTCGATAAGAATCCATTAATAACTATTATTATACTAATATAAGTTATATAACTATTGTTAATTGGTCAAGGTTTATTAATTGAAATGCCCCTGAAATTGCCATGTAGTCTCAATTTATCCCTGAAACTGGTTTTGTCTCATTTTACCCCCTTGAAACAAACATTTTAAACTATTTTGGTCTCATTTCACCTCATTCCATTAAAGAAATGTTAATTAAAGGATATTTTAAATATTTTTATTTGTTAAACATCTATTTACCTCTAGTCTACAAACTAATCTTAATTTTATTTTGACAACTATAATTCAAACCCATGACTTTTGGGGTTTGTTTTAAAATAAATTATTCAATCAATAGAAAAATTTCTGACTACAAAATCATTATATCAACTAAAATAAGGGTTACAAGTCTGTTCATTTCACTTGTAAGGCATCCATATACTGGACAATGTAAACTTTGCACTTGAAAATACTCATTACGACAGAAAGAAAACATGATAAGCCTATTCCAATATCTCTTTCTAACTGAAATTGGCCTAACCATGAGTTTCACCCATAAAAAAATGATCTTAGATCAGTCGCACAAAATAGAATTTAAAAAAAAAAGAAAAGCTAATAAAAAGGCTTGAAAACTTTGATAACTTACATATTTCATGCGGTGTGTAAAAAGTGAAATGTTTAATATATTTTTATTTTTAACATTTCTTTAATGGGATGAGGTGAAGTGAGACTAAAAAGGTTTAAAATATAGATTTCATATGGCAAAGTGAGACAAAATCAGTTTTAAAGGATAAATTGAGACTAAATGGTAGTTTCAGATAACATTTTAATTAATAAGCCATGGGTTAAATTAATTTTTACCATGAAAGTAATTTGTTTAATTAACTTTACCATCATACAACTTCCCCAGTTGGTTTGTATTCTCTACACTAATTGGCAGCTGAAAGTACGAAGGTTGAGTGCTCCGCCAGCTCCATCAATTTTCGAAAATTAGGGTTTTCAGCAGACTCACTCTTCTGATCGAACGCATCACTTCTACCTGCGCATCGCAGTCGTCGTCTTCCATGATTTCACAATTAGGGTTTGCAGAAAAGGGCAGGAGGAAGAGGATTTGAGAGGCTTCTAGGCCTTAGCTCCGATCGCCATTGCTGGCTGAAAGAGGACTTCGTCTCGGGTAAGTTGATTTCGGGCATATAAAAAATTCCCAATTCAGTGCAAACTTCAAACCGTAATTGCCATGGATTCGGCATTGTGTTGGCCAATGTCAATGCAGTACCTAATCCACAGAAATCGCCAAGCTTTTATTTTTACCAATTTGTGAAAATAGGGTTTATCTTTGTAGGTTTTTAATTGTTTCATGGAAAATTTGGGCAAAAATCCAGCAATGTATTTGTTGGAAATGCTTTCAAATTGTTTGATTTCGAAAATGTAGCTAAGCCATTGTTTTAAAGGTGTGAGCTTTACAGTGTGAAATAAACAAACCCTATCATGTTAAATTAAGCTTCACTGAAAGATGCAGTTGTGAGTTACGTCAGTTGGACATCGTGCCTGCCCCGTTGCAACCTAGTTTGAATCACCCTCGCTGTATATTAGAGTAATTTTTAGAATATTGTTTGTAACAATTGCTTCGCTGAATGACACAATTATCCTGAAAAAGTTTTCTTCCAACCCTGCAATATTAGTAATTGTTTCTTTTGTGAATATGCAGATGAAGCTATAAAGGGGCGATTATATGAATCATTAGTTTGGGGGAATATGCGTTCATCTATAACTAGTTCGAAATATACGTATTTACATGACTGTAAGTGGCCTTGTGAAGCAGTTGACGTGCACCACATCATTGTAAAAAAGAGTGGTGCAAAGGGTTTCTTCAGATACTTCTTTTCTCTGGTTATTCTAGCTACCGCCTTCTATCTTTTCTTGGTTAAGGTACGCCTTTTATCCTCTTAATTTATGTCTACCAACTTATTAGGCCAACATCCAAGGCTCCAAGCTTAACTAGGATATTAGGAACTTGAGTTTAGTTTGGTTAGAGACTTTTAGTTGCCATTCACCATTGTAGGATTTCGGATTGGTTTATTGATGATGAAACTTGTTCGTGATAATAATTTTGTTCTTAATTTTATGTCTGTTTTCTTTGTTATTGGTTATATATAAATCCATCATAACTCAGGAACTTAACATAACGATGATATGAATAACAGGAGAAATCAGTTGTCATCGTTTTATGGAGTCTCCTTTTAAATGCATTCCTTGTAAAGTTGCTTCAGAAGAGTGTTGAGAAAGGTGAGCACCCAAGTGATGGTACTTTTTGTCCTCTGAATTGGTACATCCTGTGTTAGTTCACCTTCATGTGCTCACCTTGTTTAGTGTATTAATGACAGAGTCCGTAGTGATTATGCCAGCCTTTGGAGTTCAACTAGAAACTCACTATGCGAGGTAGCTTCTATTTTTGTTTTGTGGGTATTCCTTGTTGATTAAGTTCCGTGCTTTTTCAGTTTTTCCAATAGTCTCTTTTCTTTTCCTTCCGTGTTTTACTCTTATAGTGGAAAGGTTATTCGCCGGTTCGTTCCTATGGACAAGATTTTGAAACCTGTGCTACTAGAATGTGTGACTCCAGTTACATGTTACTGGAGCCTGTCTTTGATTGTGCACGGGGAAGCAGAATTGGTGTTAGTTTTTAAGGTACAATTCATGCTATTGCTTGGCGCAAGGTATTAGGAGGCATAAATGTGGTGAAACTGCCGATCTTATATTTATTACTTGGCTTTTGAAAGTTGACTTTGTTTTCCAGGACTTGCGTCCGCCTATGAAAATGTTGGTGCCCATCTGGAAGGCCTTGTGCGCTGCCACTGGTACTAAAGGAAGCTCAAACACATGTACGGAAGATGGTTGATGGAGATGATTAATTCAATTGTGCATTAGAAACCTCCATTGCTCAAGTAACGCAGAATAATTTGCAGAGCTAATTGCATCCTCTTTGATCACTTGGTTGTTTAGAGTTCGCATTGATACGACTCGGAGGATGAACGGAGAAAATTTTGATTCGAACAAGATTCAAAGGGATTCCTGTTGCAATCAGTTACACAAATCACATTGTACAATCTGCTGATTCAATTAATTGTAGCCAAAATCAATGTAAATTCAAAATTTGTCCTCGTTCTTTATTCGAGTTTACGCTTCTGCTTCCCTGGCCCTGTTTCTCACTTTGTTATATTTGGAGCCAAATAAGTTCCGAAATTGGTAGATAACATTTGAGTTTTATTCAAGAGAGATGATTGAAATCGTTGCTTACCAAATGCCTACCTTGACACCAAAGATTAGACCAACCACAAGTTGATTAAAAATCCCAGGTGCCCCACAGATATCATGAATATGTGTTTTCGTGAAAACCCGGAATTTACTCGCACAATGAGTGATGTAGACACAAAGGAACACAAGCCCCGGTGACAGCAGATTACATGACAGAATGTCGTAGCCCTTCGTAGAGACCAGACTGATTAAACGAAAATTAAAAATTAATTGATATTATGTGAAGAAAGCAAATTACATGATCAATCAAGCGCTCACACAACAGAATCATCATTCTTCTGATGAAAAAGCTCGATCATTGTTTTTCTTTAATGGGGCTTCAATTTTTGAGCATGCTTACACTAGGTATAGAATGCGAACAAATTTACAGCTTGAATGTGTCAATTCCGAACAGGCGGGACCGGGCAGTATGACTCTGGACCAAAATTGGATCGACATCACTCTACCTGCTAGCCAAGTTTAATCGTCTTTCTGCACGTTCAAGACTAAGTTCATCTCGACATAAACCATGCCACAAATGATCTGCGTCAACATTCAACGATGCAATCTTAGCTATTTGCTTATGCAACGCCTCCAAGTTGACAAGTGGGGCAGTTGTTGGTCGACCATGAGCACACTGAAATACAAAATTTTCATAGTTTTTCGATAAGCCAACATAAAAGCCTCTCCCAGGCACTACAAATTCACACTCACATCCATAAGCTGTCTCTTAGCCTCTAAAGATCACTTACTTGGAAACATAGAGAAGTCTGCTTTAGCTCTTCAACGATGAGGTTACACTCTGGAAGGAAGCAAGGAATCCCCAAACATAATTGCACCTAACAAGAGAAGGAAATTATATAAATAAATAATTATTTATATACAAGCACTAAATTCATATGTAAGAAAAACTTGTCTGGAAATTTGATATCAGGCATGCACTGTGTAAAGAGGTAAAAACAGTAAAAGGTTATTTTGTCAGTATAATTATACCAACTCAAAGGTTGACTTTCCAGTTTGTGAATGAAAATACACTCGGTGGAAAGGCCTTAATGGCACCAAGTTTAAGAATCTTTAGGTCCATATATTCGAACAAGGCTAGTTTGCCTCAAGGGAGAGCCTTGAGGTTCAGATTTACCTCTGCATGCTTTAGAATTTAGGATTCAAAGAACTGATGGCGGCGTTGTGGATGATCCATCTGCACCAGCAAGCTGAAGATTGAGCAGAAAGCTGTGTCAGGCATTAGTTAACTAAAGTTGGGGAATGATAAAGAAATTCAACACAAGAAGAGAGGAAAGAAGTCCTAGAATTAAAGGCACGCTTTACATTACCTGCTGAAGAAATTCCATAACATCCGAGTCAGATAAATTGACACCTAGGATGCAGGGCACCTGCATCCCATTTAACGTGAACGTGTGAGAGGCAGTTTCATATCGTCATTACTTCGAACTAAACAAATGAAATCGAGATGGGTAAATGATCTTGGTTCAACATGCTTTGAACTAATAAAAAAGGTGAATGGAAGAGTTATAATTGAGAAGTGATGGGTGCTTCACCCTAATAAGTGTGGCAGCTGTTGGCTGCCTGTGGAGGAGATTCAAATGCCTGCCAAATGGTTAAATCCCAAAATTCAGGGTACACAAATAATAAGGTCTCAGAAAATACAATACAATTTCATAAATGAACCATGTAAGTAGTGTCTAACTTATCACGTTTTTGTAACACCAAGCATGAAAAGCAAAATGAGGTAAAAGAAGCAACAACATTTAATAGATGAATACATAACAGTGAAATCAAACACTAGTACATGCACGTTAGACGCTGAATCATAACACAATTGTGTAACCGAAAACTCAAGATTGCTATTACAAGAATTTCAAATCCTTAGGTGCAGCCCAATATTCTTGTAGAGTTTATCTATCGACACTCAAATTAGCAATGCAGAAGCCTACCAAGTTAGTGTTATATTCATAACTTTATAATGCTGGACATCATACTCTTTTGTAAATGATAAATTATTATTAAATAAGAAATATGCCGGGACGTAAAATACCTCTTGAAGGACCCTGAACCTTCAGCAAGTGTGTTGCAGAGCCAACCCCACCCTTCAACTGGTTTAGCATAGTTATGCAGTAACTGGTAGCCAATCTCTGGCAGCACCTGAATTATGATTATAAGAACCAAAGAGTCAAGGAATGCAACCATTAAACTTCATTTAGCATCAGATACACTACATACCAACTCTTGTTCAACATCCAGAAAAGTAATTGCCTTTGCTTCTCCTTCTCCAGATAACACCTAGGTAGTCCAACTAGTCATGTAAGCCAAAGTAGCAACATCATTTCCAACAGTTTAAACAGGAAAGATACTAATACCTTCTGATGCAACTCCTCCAGCCGAATCCTTTCATCTGCAGTATGCTGTAGAAAAGAATTGCGGTCAAAGTTGGAACTCCAGCTGCACTCGTGTGCATGTGACACTTAGTATGAATGTAGCCAATGTTTTATGAACAGCTGCATGTACTGCATATTTACGCTTATGCATCTATTTTGAAGACATACAATTTTCTCTTATTTTCATATATAAACTTACATCCTAAGTTTATTTCCTCCTCTCTGAAGGCCACTTTTGGGCAAGTAAAGAAAGTGATCAGATACCTATTGCTGTAATCTATAAGTGAAGTGTAGGTGCCCCTTATTTAACAAGAAACTTAGTGCTGACTTACAGAAGAGCACAAGTCCCAAACCAAAACTTAAATACCACCCTAAAAAAATACACAACAAACGGACCTGGTCAATAACAGCAAGTGTAGTACCGGCCATAACTGCAATATATTTCTTATCCACCTGCCGAAGAACTCCGCAATCACTGAGGCAGTTCTTGTTGATAGATTGAGGAACTAACGAGTCAGCTGAGAGAAGCAAGAATCCAGAAGAGATTGAGTATGTTTTGATCATGAAGAGCTTGTGTTTTACTTGAGTTCTGCATTATACAAAATTACATTTATAATTACAAGTTGATTAAGTGGATGCAAACTTTTGTGGCAAGCAATTATAGCGATGATCCCATCTTGGCTCAGAAGTAATTTTATATAATAAGCATTCAAGTATTGATTGCACTTGGTGCATAATAAACATACAAGATACCGGCCACTGAGTACTGCGGTCAAGTGGTATTCCTCTTCACTTGTAAGTGAGAGGTCTTAGGTTTAATTCTCACCAAAGGCGAATTTGAACCTCATTATTGCTAAACCCCCTCCCCCTTAGTGTAGATAATATAGTTTGTTCAAAACAAACAAAAAAAAAAAAAAAAAAAAAAGAAAAAAAAACATACAAGATACCTTTAATTGGAGCAGTAGCTTGAATCTCAGAACATGTGGACTGTTCAAACATTTCAACTTCGTGACTCTTGTTTACACCAGCCTCTATATCTTGAGATTTCTCAATATCTGCCCTGAAAGAAAATTTGACAGTTGAGAGGATAAAGTCAATAAATTAAAAGAAAATATGATGTGACAGGAAAATAATTGAAGTTCAAGTACCTGGTGTCTAGTGGGAAATCCTCAACAGAACTTGGCTTCAAATTTAGATGGTAACCACCAGAAGGTTGATGGAGATCCTTCATCTTGCTAACTTCTGCACAAAAAGGTGTATTAGCTAGTCTGAATCGATATCAGCTGCCAAGGCTTAAAGGGAAAATCACATGATAATACCTGGATAAGTAGGTGCATCACGAAAGGTTTGTGCATCAGGTTTGCTGGCTGTTGTTGTCAAAGGATGACTTAATGTAAAGTACCTCCTCTGGCTTCTATAAAATGGTGGAGTAGAATGGCTTCTTCTCAATCTTCCTATGGAAGATTGATTTTGTAGACAATCTTGAACTCTAAACTTATGTTTTTGTATTTTATACAAGTCAGTACCCTTGTTATCTTTGCTGCACGGATGCAAACATGACCAATCCGTCTCATCAGCTAATATATCTGGGCATTCAAGAGAAAACTCACCATCTAAGTTGTGCAGTTGAAAGAATTTTCCAGAATCTAAATAATCACTAACATCCAGTCCATGGTCTTTATATGTAGTGCAGTGCTCTCAGAAGGACCTCTTTGATATTATATCATAACTAAATGTGCAGTTCTTTTCTTCACTATCCACAAAATACTTATTAGTTGCCCTTTTAACATATCTATAATGCCGTTAAACTGCATTAATATCAGAGATAGGTTCAAAATCCAAATAGGTGTTTTGGGATAGGGAGGTCAAAGAGCACCAATCATTATTTAAGGTCTTTTGGCAGGAACCAAGGTTCTCTACATCAATAACTGAACCTTCTTCATAAAACAGCTCCTCATAGTGTGGGAGCGACTTTATTAAAGGTCTTGACGAAGAATTGAACTCTGTAGGCAGGTCAAATTTTGTTACAACTCTGGTCAAGGGCCGAGCAGTAGATTCCTTTTCTGGCCACAAAGTCCTTGAAAAGAAATCAAAACCCTTGCTGCCATCAATTTCTGGAATTCGTACACAGTTATAAGATCCGCCCCGCCTTCTCTTGTTCCCGAAGCCATCATTTTGATATCTGGACCCATCATCCACACACAAATCCCTCTCACATAGAAACCTTTCTTTTGAGGAACAATTCTTGAGGAACGGCTGTACTAAATACTCTACATCGCTATCAAATTCATGATGATCATAAGATACTCTACTAGTTGCTGAATCAATGCCAACACTGGAATCAACTTTAAAGGGTTCATCTTGCCATTCTGAGCTAAAGATATTGTCCTCCACATTACTGGATCTTTCTCCACCACGGGATCTATTCTCAAGGATATAATCTTCACCAGAGAAACGTTTGATATCTGACTTCCAAAAATGGTCTTCCTTCTTTTGAGTTGTTGTTACCACGCATTTGTCTAGAGTATCATCCCGTGATTGAAAAGAATATGCAGTATGAGAACTAAATTCAATCCCAATATATTGCCCTTGGAAATTGAAGGCTTCAGTATATTCAAATGGCTTTCTGACGTATCTCTTCTGAGATGTATGGTTGTCTTCTTGAATTAACATATCCATAAGGTCGGGAGAAGCCTGACAACTTTTCCTGCTCTTTCTTTTCCCGAACTTAGAGAGTTCTGACAAATCTCCATCAAGTAAATCTAGCAAGAGAAAGGATATGAGCCAAGGAAAAACTGAACCAAAGTAACATCTTTTAATTCCGTAGCACAAAAATGAATTGAAGAAACTAAAAGATAGGACTCATATTCATTTCACAGTGTCTAATGAAAATGGGAAAAAAAATTCTGTTCCTTACTTTCATCTGCAGATTTAATGTTGCCACCTTTCTTCCGCATTTGATTTTCTTCTAAAATATCAGCTCCATGACAACCAGATTCCCTAGAAATATCCTAGAGGTTAATACGCTTTAAAAAAAAAAAAACATTATACCAAAATAATGTTCCATTAATATGTCTTCACACCAACAAAAGTGAAAGAAGCTCTCAGAAACAAGCCAGGGGTAAAGGTGTACCATCAGGCATTTTTTCGTCCAGAAGTTCTTAATGGCATTATCAATAAAGGTGAGTACAGAACCCAATCCTGGCCAAAGTGAGAGAAGAACAAGAAGCATAAAACATTCAGCAGATCGTATATGATACATAGATCACAACTCACAGTAAAAAAGGAAAGTTACCTTAAACTCCACATATGTCTTTGATGATTCAAAGGTTAAATCATAGAATGTTCGGGGACAGCTTAAATTCAAAACATAAGCTGTGAATGCCTTAGGCCTACTTTGCTTCCTATTTTTAGACCCATCAATAGCCTTCCCTGGATCCCAGAATTCAAAACTATTGGCCAGCTGATTAAGCAATTTATGAATTGGCCCTTTGCAAACGAACCGTGAGTTAATATCTACCAGCGTCAAGATCAAGAACAAAATATAACTCATCTCAGACCTAACACACTCCTTCTATAACTTGGTAAATATTCTCCAAAATATGGACATGGATACAGACATACTAGAAGGCCTGAAAAATAGATGTTTCAAGAATAAGAAACAAGGATACTAATATTTAAAAAAGTACAAAATAATCTGCATCATTCATATAAATCTACCTTATCAGCAAGGTTATTGCAAGGAGTAGATATGTATCCAGAAAGCTCTAATCTGCCATCACTTATGTTCAATTCATGAAGAGCATTGGAGATCTCAGTCCCAAAAGTCCTTTTCAATAGTATCAAGGGAGAGGGAGAAGGAGTTGTACGAAGAAGCTCATCCTCACTACATACATACTGGAGTAAGTAAGTTAATAAACAAAGAAATAAATAACAACAACCATACATTTTTCAACAAGAAAATGTGTTTAGAAGAAACCTTTCAATGTCTACAACTTTGAAGGAAACATTTGAGTGCACAAGGGCGATCCGATGTACACATTTATTGACAGAGTGCAATACTTTCTTGGGGCTTCCAGTTTGTAATGGAAATCAAAAGTCAGATCAAGTCAGTTTATTTCATTGCACTATCATGTTTAAGGCAGCTGAAAAAAATCTTATATAAACCACATAAAGAAAACAAAATGGTTCAGGACTGGCACCTGGATTGCATGTACTTCCTCCGAACTGGTTGATTGTAGAACAGATCACGAACAACAACTACAACGACAACCAAGTGATTAATCAAATTCTTAATGTAGGTGGAATTATCCAGGGAAAACGCCAATAAGCATTTATCCCTGGTAATGTAACAGAACCCGTCAAAGTGATCATGGTTGATAACCTTCAATGAAATCATTTCCATAAACAAAGATGCAACGTTAGAAAGTTTGACAAGCTTAAATGAAGACAATAGGAACAGTAATAGGTCGGTACCTGTAGTACCCACATCCTTCCTGTTATCATCCATTCCAAGATACAAACATTTGCATCCCTATGAAAAATAGAGGAAAAGTCAACCGGAGAAAAACTTGCACAAAGGCCTAGAGCAATTCTGTTGTGAACAACACCTAAAACCTAACATTCTTTAGATTATAACCGAAAGAGGAAGATCAGCACTGACCATCATCCGCTACTTTTACATAGCATGTCCCAACACCTACGAAAACCGATACCTGAGACCATAAACAAACAGTTGTGAAGCTAATTAACTTTTTTGCCATCGTTACTACTTAAAACGACTTAATTACACCTTTAAATGGCATAAAGCAATTACCTTCGTTGCGCCGGCATACAAGCTATTAAAAATCAGCTCCTCCACAAAGCTAGTCAGCTCGAGCAGAACAACTCCAGAGCGCATCGAGCTACGCACCGCCTCCGGCAACGGCTTTACGCCCCTCATCGAGACCTACAACGACGACAATTTCCAATCATTTAACTAACAGAAAACGAAAAATTGTTACCTTGTTCAATTTTCCCGCACTTTCTCGGCAAACAAACAGAGACAAGGAAAATGTATTGGCGAATTGAAATGCTCCGTAGCTTAACTGCGAGAACGAATTCGAAAAATTAGGGGTTTGGGCTTTAGGTACGACGACGTCGTTTGGATGATCAGACGACGGTTCGGAGCCCTCCGATTTCGCGGGTTTGGACAAAAAAAAGGCGGTTCAGTGTCAGACTCCAGTTAACTGAATCTTTAACCGCCGTTTGCGCGAGTGTGAGGACCCGTGAAGATTGAGCGGGCTTTGATAATCGTACACGCGGCATGGCCTAGGTGAATCACAGTTGGAACGTCATTGGCTGATAGTAGCAACCCTAACACGTGGCGCTTGAGCGGTATATGTCTGCTTCTATTTATTTTATAGGAGGAAAATCTCTTCCACAAAATCTATCCAATCAATCAATTTAGATTTTATAAATTTGATTCAACGGTTACAAACAGAAAATTATTTTTAAAAAATTATAATAATTTTAACCGTTAAATTAAATTTTAAAAATCTAAATTAGATGATTTGATGAAGTTGATGGAAGGGTCTCGCGGGGAGAGGATCCCTGTCCTTTTATAGAAGGCTGACAGGCGACATGTAAAAGTATCCCGCAGGTAATGTAATTCACAGATTCAAGCAGTCGTTATCCCTTTCACTTGAAGCTGATGTCTTCTGGTAAATTACGAATCTACCCCTATATTTATTTATATCCATATAAGATAAATAGATATATGATTATTAAATAAGAGTAACACTAACCAAGCTCTTTGCGATAAAAATAAATATCTAAATTAATAAATAAGAGTAACACTAAGCAAGCTCTCCATGTTAAAAATTAAAAAAATTAGGACAACGGGTAGAGGAGTAATTTACTTAAACCTAACATGCTCAAGATTAAGTTTAGTTAGTATCCAATGTCCATCAAGTTAGGATTTGGACAATACAACATTATTCAATATAAAACTCAATTAACCACCACCTAAAACAAAAATCAGTCATGATTACATACCCTTTCAACCAAAAAAAAAAGAGCTAATCCATCCAAGTCGGTCCAATCCAAATTACTTACGGCTAATTAGGTCGGCCAATCACTTGTAACCCAGTTGGTTAATGTTCGAGTTTGAATGTATTAAAAAGGAAAATAATTAATTCAGTTAATAACAAACTTGAGAAAAGATGAACTTGGCATTCATAAATGAATTAACATTAGTCCATAGATTCTCTGTTACTTCACAGTTTAATGTTAATTTTCTGTTCTGTTCCAAGATTATAAAATATATGTCAAAAACATAAAATAACAAAAAATTTATAAAAAATCTCACTTTGAATACATTATTTAGCATTTGTCATGGAATGAATAAGCAAAAGCATGAATGCATGGTGATGCCATGGTGGCATGAGATGAGGAGAGAGTGAATAAATTGGGGGTAAAAATAAGAAATAAAAATGGTGGGTTTAATTGTGGGGATTTTGGGATTCTAGAACCAGAACCAATCGAAATTATATATATATATATATATATATATTTATTTATTTATTTATTTATTTATATATAGGGGGAACAAACAACATCTTCCATTTTTCTTCCACCACCCTGATTTTTCTTCCACCTCTCTCTCCCCCTGAAAACCCTAATTACAGCTCTGCCGTTTATCTCTCTCCTTTGTCTCAAGGAGACGGACAAATTTTTAGCAATAAGATCAGGTATTTTTTTTGCTTGCCCTCCTCTCTCTGTTCTGATCATTTTGTATTGAATTTTGATAGAATTATCGGTAATGGCAGTTGAAACTTGCATTGATTTGTTGAATTCTAGTGAATTGAGCTTTTTGGGATTACGGATTGGTTCGGATTATTGTCCGTTTGTTTGCCTGCTTCCGATCTTGTTTGTGTGATTAATTTGAGTTGGTGTGTTTGAATTTTGCTGTGATTGTGATGCTTATGATTCAGCTGCCTTGTTGTTGTTGTTGTTGAATTGTTGGATGCGGTTTTGATTAAGTTTTGTTTGTTTCTCAGGAAAATTTTGAGGGTTGGATAAGGGCAAGGTAATTTGTGGTTTTCCGGTTGTTTTTCATTATCTTAAGTTACTAGGATGATTGAGGAAGAAGAAAGGAACTCAATTTAGCTATGTAAACTCCCAGGATTTAGTCGAGGTTATTGTGGTTTAAGTTTTATCGAAAATTGAAGCCACCAATTTGTGTATTTTGATTTGAAGTTTCTTTCTTTTCCTCCGGGTTTTTTCACCAGTAAACAAACGATTTGTGTATGTTGATTTGATTTCGGTTTTGGGTTTAGTAGGCCTTAGTATTCCTCAACATTTTTAGGGTTTTTCTATTTGGGTATTTCATATATCAAGTACTTGTCTTTTCATCGAAACTTGATTGAATTCTTATTGTTATGTAGATGGTGTGGTCATTTCCCCTCTGTGGAGAGTAATTATCATTGCAGTGTAAAAGGGGTATACTGGAAGCGTACTGATGGAGGCAAACATCTGTGATGTCAATCATTTGGACGCTGACGTCCTTCTACCTCCACGAAAGCGTCTGCTTGCTGGATTGAAGAAACAGAGTCCGGAGGGTGATAGTGCTGCATGGCTGTCTCTAGTTGCTACTTCAGTTGCAGCTGCAGATTCAGCATCAGCTTCGGCTTCTGCATCTTCTTCTTCTTCGCATTCTTCAAGTGAATTTAACACTCGCCTCAACAGTATATTGAGTTCTCATACTAATCTTTCGCCCGAGGAGCTGGTAGAGGTCTCGAATTCGGCTGCTGCTGCTGCAGCAAAGGCTGCAGAGGTTGCGAGAACTGCAGCTGAGGAAAAAGCTGCAATAGCTGCAAAGGCAGTGGCTGCAGCGAAGAGTGCTTTAGATTTGGTTGCCTCTTTTTCCGAAGAGGCAGCAGGCAAGGAAAAACACCTGAAAAAGAACAAGCTGAAGAAGCATGTTCCAGTTCAGCTCTTGTACAAAAAATACCAACCAATTGAAAATTGTAAGAAGGACGAAGAGTTGGCCCGGAAATTGCACAGAGCTATAAATAGCTCTCCGAGAATTACGAAGAATTCATCAAGTGCTGATGGCAAGGGTCATAAACACAAGAAGCCTAAAATTTCACATGGTTCCGAGAAAGTTAGGGTTCCCAATGGGGTAATTGTATTGGAACAAGGCCCAGCGTCTACTTGCAATGGACATTCTGTAGCAGATAAGGTCAACGTTGAAGGCACCATCCAAGACATGTACGAAAATGGTGGACCTGATAGAGCAGGTCGAATGGAGATGGATAATGGAGAAGCAGAATCAAGTCGTACGGAGAAAAATTGGGATGCTGCGAGTACCACCGGTAAAAAGAGGGGAAGAGTGAAGCTAAAAAAGTTGCCGTTGAGCAATTGCACCTTCAGGGATCAAGCAAATCTGAAAGAAGATACGGATGCACGAGGCTCCCCATTGATTGACATGAACATGGGTAACCCTACTGCCGCAAAGAAGCCTTTGTTCCCTGTGGAGTCTTCTGCCGATAGTATGCTGCCAATTGAAGCCACACCGGTGTGGAAATGCAAGGATTTTAAGGCTCCGGCGTGCATGAATCAAAACAAAGTCATGCAATCTTGATGTCGAAACGATATTGTTGTGGTGAGCTATGAGTTAGGATTGGATAGCTGAGGTAGGATTCACGATTTCACGTCTTATAGAAAACGGCCTTATTTCATTACCCTTTTTTCTTCCGCTCCGTCTGGGTTTGTAATGAACTTGAAACTGACTACTTGTAAATTTAGATGTTACATTACTTGCATCCGTCGTGGTTTACCCGCTCGTCCGAATCGCCTGTTGCTCGGGAAGCTGAGATAACAGGGATGCAATTAGAATGTCTAGTGTTTTGTTGATATGTTGCACAATAATTACTGCTGGTGTGCTCATAGATGTAAACAACTCTCATTGTCTTCGGTAATTATATTCATTTGAAATTTTTACTGTCTGAGATTGTTGTTTCATGAAACTAATGAAGGGGGTTAATTCTTTCCATAAATGGGGTAAATTCTTCATGAAATCAATGAACTAATCCTCTGTGATCTGGTAACTTAGGTACTTTGCTGTTGCAATATAAAAAAGAACAATGATTGTCCTTCGATTAGAAAAGACGATCGGTTCTCGACATTTGGCAGTATCAGTTTTCGGCAACTGAACTTCGTATGATACCGACTTTTTTCCGGTAATTCGAACCCTAAATTCATCATGAAAGCAGCAATTTAAACACTGTCTTGTTTTTCATATTACAATGAATGAAAATTTTAGAACAGATCGAGATTTATAACTATGAACCCTTAACCAATAATTGAATGACTAAAAATTTAAAAGTTATGAATCTCGATTTACATTATCAGCCGGTCTATGCTAAAAAGGAAAATTCCATATTGAACTAGTAGTACAGTTCCATATTGTAGGATTCTCTTCCTTTCAAATTTTCCTCTCCTTCAATCTCCTCCTTTTTGAACAGTCAATCACGATTATCAACATCTTGTTTTGACTTTTTTTTATAGAGAGAGACAAAAATGAAAGTGAAATAGAAGGGAAGGGGATGAGAGAGGAGAAAATCTTACTTCGAGATTTAAAGCTTTCGGAGCCAAATATTAATTGGAATCATTTACCTTTTCATGACATATCCTTTGAACTTTTCAAGTCAAATAACTAAAACTAACCTTAAAGAGCAAAACTAAAATACTTCTAAAACGTCTAAAATACTATGCTACCAACCAATCCAACAGCCACCTAAATCTCAAAAAAATATTGGGCACGAGCTCACTGGAGAGAGCTGAGTTCGGGTGTGGCATCCACCCGCCAGAAAGGAACTCAAATGTAGGTGTTTCATTCACTGGCGAGTAAGATGTAGGAAGATTTTCACTTCCTTTTTTCAGCCTTCAAAATTTTCACTTTGAAAATTTCTAGTATGTTTGGGTACATTTTAAACATTGAGATTTTCAATTGTTAGTGTTAACACTCAAATTATAAGGTTAACAAACTTAACTAAATGAAACTAAATGGCCTTGCAAGATGAGCTAAAATTAATGGACTCAATGATATAAGTGGTTTACCCCTCAAAACTAAATTACATCCACTGTATTGCTCTTATATATTGATTTCAAAGATAAATAGTGCTCGGCTAATACATTAACTCTATTTTCTCCAATTCGTCTGACCCCTATAATGGAGGTCTCTACCCCTTTATATAGGCCTTACCCTCTTGAGGTCTCTCAAACTAACATTCAATGTGCCAACCGCTTGTACTAACTTACCAACAACTTTTCACCTATTTGGCCATGCCTTCGACAGCAAAGTGACATTCTAGCAGTCAGATGACACGTCTTTTCAACACCCAGGTCGCCCGAGCATCTCACTCGAACCTCGGTTACTCTGCGTCGCTTTGCTAAGCACTACCCTAATTGCCCTTAAGTCCCATCCTAGGTCTCTACTATTGTCTGCACAATGTTGAATAGTATGAGTAGCACTTGAGTTGTTCTGTCATTGAAGACTTGTGCCATAAGTTGTCAGCATGCCCACGCGTTCTGCGTGGTCGTGTAATCCTTCTTTTTCTCAGTTGGCCTAAGCACTAGGGTCGGCCCTCTTTTTGAACTTTATAGGCCTTGGGCTTCTTAGTCTTTCCTAGGGCTTATGTCGTTGTGTGGGCCTAAAAGGGCTAATGTTAACAGTTAGATCCTTAATCAACAACCTAGTAACCACACCTAACAGTAAATGGATATATTGTTAGAGCATCTCCAGTAGAAAGATGCATCCGAAATATCAAAATCACATTTATATTTCATTCTACTCCAATGGTGTAAATTTGAGATCATTTCTTTTTCTCTATAACTCAAGGGGCTTATCTTCTAAAAATGGATAAAAAAAAGATTTATATTTACATTTTATTATACTCATTTTACCTTTCACGCTTGATGTTAATTTATGTCTTTTGATCATCTTCAACTCATTCAATCTAACGCCAAAAATTGAGAGAGTGTTGAAATCTTTTGATCATCTTCAACTAATTCAATCCAATACCATAAATTATGAGAGTGTTGAAATTAAAATAAGTGTGTGAATAAATCATCCTATAAATATTTTACTCTTTCATTATAAAAGCTTTTCAGCCGACATTTTGCATCTCCGTATCCCTAACGTATACTAAAAATTAAAAAAAAAATCATGATGTCAGTACATTGCCATGGTCAATAGTTTCAGAAGTTGCTGTTGTACGTCTGCAGTAACAAAAAACAGAGGCATGAAACCTTTATTTTTCCGAAGTGGGCCCGCTGTATGTTGGGGGCGGTGATCACACTTGGGTTTCATTTGTTTTTAGTACATTGATATTTTTATATTAAAGAGAGAGAGAGCTCAATAAAATCATTTAATGAGCAGTTTAAATTGGTTCGAATTTGTCATTTACGATGATTCGAATCTAAGATTTCTCATTTCTAAAAGAACATGAATACCATTAGACTGACTACTTGAGTTAAGCATGTAGAACTTAACTTTCAGATGCAAAAAATAATAAAAACTCATTTCATTTGTCAATTGATTTGTTATAAGTCAGTTTATTTATTAATGTTTAGGACCAGCCCGCCCACTTCCCACCTGATCGAACAATCGAAAAGATAAACGAACACGGATTGGTGGACTGTTATGTCACAATAAAAAAAAAGTAGGTAAGGAGTTTGATCGAGATATTCACTGTTCTTTATTAGGGTTTAAATTGTTACAGCAATAATTAATTAATGTTTTGATTAAATATTCCCTCGTGCTGAAGATGTGCGCTCTTATCAAACTCTTAACGCCATCTTATATTGGAGTTTTAACCATTCAACCATGGATGCTTAGCAGGAATTCTTGTACACGGTGAATAACCAAATTCCAATTAAAATGTAGTAGTTAAATCGACAATTCACACATTCTCTATTCGAGTATAGGTTCATCACAATCCATTGAATTATGTTCCCGTTAAGCACGAATCTGGAATCTGTACAGAAGATGCATTCATCTTCCATTCTCAAGAAAGTGGGAATAGGATTAGGATTAGAGAGCAAAACAAAAGTCAAGAAGGGATTAAGAAACCTAAAACCCTATATCAATCAAGAAAGTCATCAATCATCATCAGTATACAGGGTGTGGGGAACACATACATGTGTTTACAAGCCACCAGGGGCATATATCCAAAACGACAGTCGAATTCTCTATCCGAATTTTTCGGCGTCGTTTCTCACAAAAATCGTTACTAATTTACAACTCTTATAGTTAATAGTTAATAAAAAAAATAATGATTCTTATTAGTCGAGTAACAAACAAAATTAAATCGCAATCAATAGGGTCGTACGTGCGGAGTGGAGTTGTTCGGAAGCCTTAGAAAGGGTGCGGTAGGAGTTGCCAGCATCGTCATCCTTCAATCTTTTTCTTCACTTGCCAACCTTAATATGCGGGTTGCTCATCCCAACATTCACCTTTTCCACATTTGACTTGCTTTTCATCTCGTTCTGGTTCGAAGTACTGCGATTGATCCACGGATGTTGCAGGCACTGCTGGGCTGTTGGCCGCTTCTCTGGTGCAAAGTCGAAAATTGGACAAAGGAAATCTGCAAACTCCCGAGCATCGGTCTCTGAAAATTTGTACCTATCCATCAGTATTTTATCAAGTGGCCAAAACTTCAGCCTTCGGATTCTCTTTAGATCACCATGTCGGTCAAAGAAGTCCTTGGAACGAGCTCCGCTAATCGCTACCTGAAAACCCAAGCATAAGATATGAATGGCATCAGATAAATGTCTTGGAGAAATATAAGTGCGATGTAGGATTAGAATATCACCTTTCGAGGCATCTTTCCAAGGAGTTCCATCATCAACGCAAGGTGGTCCTGCAATCAATCCAACAAATATTTCGATTGCAAACCAGTAAGCAGAAGGCAGTGGAAAATAGGGTACTCTCTACAAAACATGACCAATCGCACAAATTTGACAAACTCCAAGTAATTCACAAGAAATAAAGACAGTCGATAACATTAACCAAATTCAAAATGTCAAATTGTTCGTAGAGAGAAATTCCCGTCTACATATATTAGAATTATCTTGGGAGCTGGGGTTCAAAGCTTTTATAAGGCAAAAAATAGGGTTTATTCAATTTTCAAATATGGAAAAACGGATAATATTTATAACTTTTTTTGCGACAAATTCGTGAGTATGCTATACAAACATTCGCAACATTGTCATAAAACTTTAATACAATGGTGTAAAAGTGAAACCATCTTTACCTCATCCTCACTAAAGCCTTGTCCCACCTTTGGAGCGAACAACATGTCGCCAGTCGCAAGTTCAAATGCAGTGCAGGCAAATGACCACATATCAACTGAGTATGAGTAACCAGATCGCAGTATAACTTCAGGAGCTCTATACTGCCTTGTTTGAATCTCTTCCGCAAGTTGCTTGTTGGCCCAACATCCATTTCCGAAATCAACAACCTTGCACTTTACATCAATCCCATCTAGGTTTCTTTCAGGCTTGGGAGGTTCATTACCTCCCATAGATCTCTTCTCAACGAAATCTTAGCAACTGCCCTCCTTGCCCTCCTTTTCAACTTTTTCTCAATAAGAGTCATGGTGGCTCCACCGTTCAGGTTCCCTTCAGGTCTTTCTAGAATTGGTGTGAGGCCAGCCCTGACTGGATCTTTGGCAGGATCGATGGTGTTACAAAGAAGGATGTTTTCGGGTTTTAGGTCAGTGTGGATGATACCAAGTTCTCGATGCAAATAGTCGAGACCTATCAATATGCATTTGCAGATCTCCCTAACTTTATATAATTTAAGGCCTTTGTAACGGTTATGCTTGATCAGCCGAAGTAAGCTATCACCAAGAAATTCAAGGACCATGCACTGATGCTGCCCGTTCGGACCTGCATGCTTAAAATGGTCAATCAGCCGCACAACACACTTGGAGTGCGTGGGGTC